GCCCTGCGGGCAGGGACGGCCCAGCGCGCGGCTCCGCGCCGGCCTCGGCGTCCCCTTCCTCCCTCCTGGGATTCTGGGAGGTGCCACCTTGACGATCTTTGCCCTCTCCTCTCGAGAAGCTTCTGGACTTTCCACCTGCCCAGGTCTCTCCTTCCAGACAGTCAGAAGCAGGGGAGCAGGGAGCACGTGGCGCGAACGGCCTGCAGGCGCTGGATGCTGAGAGCAAAGGCCTAGGAGGAGAGATGCCTAAAACACTCCAAACTCTGGGATCTGATGAGCGGCGCGCTGAGCGCTTTCTCGGGATAGTACACTCTGGCATCACAGAGGCCTCGGTGCGGGGCTGCGGGAGTGGGGTGGCGGGTGCGGGGCGGGAGCCGCCCTATCCTGGGCAGGTGCTTTGCGCAGGGCGGGCCTTGGTACCTCACCTACACTAGTGTCGTGAGCACGCCACCCCCACCACGCCCCTGAGAACAGTGCTAATCCCCGTGCAAGAAAGAGATGCAGAGACCGAAGTGCTGCAAACTCCAGTTTCCTGCCGACTTAGTGAGTCAGGCTTCAAACCCACGGCTTCTGGGTCCAAAGCTGGTGCGTTCTTTCCAGCTTCCCAGCGCCCATGCCCACCCCACTCCCTTAACAGATACTTTTAAAAATGGAGCTTTGGACAAGAGCAGGCTTGTGAAGTAAAGTATGCTGTGAAGAGGGTCACAGGATGCACCAGAGACAGCAGGATGCCTTTCCTCTGATTGTAAATCTCCCCTCGTGAAAGAGGGTTGGACAAGGGCCTCAGAGGGCTTCATGGACAACCTGACCTATCAGCAGCCCCCCGGGCCAAACTGGAAAATGCAAGCCCCTTGTTCACTTTCAGAGGGGAGTCTGGAAGAATGCTCAGAGGTGCACACCAAGCATAAGGACTTTATCTGAGTTGGAGGTGTTCCGAACAGATGCTTTTGCCAAATGGATAAATGTTAAACTCAACATTTCTTTCAAAGCAGGAGTTGAAATGCTGCTCTTGATTCTTTCTCACAAGACACGAAAATTCCCAAGTGGATTTTTCTCGCAGGTCTCAGGCCTAAATGTAATTACTTAAAAATTAAGCAGAGTTCTTAAATGCCACTTTGCTTAATGTTATTAAAAGTAATACTGTAAAAAGTTATAATACAAATATTAGAATTATTACACAATTCCTATTTTTGTCCTTGTATTTAGGTTTTTAGAAACAGCTGGCCAGTGTTCTTTCTTTTTATATGTTTATTGATTCCAACTTATTTCCCCCCATATTTGATTATTTGGAAGTTTTTATTATTTGGGGGCAAAGAATAAACAGCTTCCAAAATAATACATTATTGCATCTTACTATTGCCAGACTAAATAGCCACTTATCTTTTCCTGTAACTTCAATATTTAAAACATTTTCATCCGCATCACATCTGGCACGCCTACTTATATTTCAGGTGAAAATGCAGATGTGCGCAGGAAACCCCAAATGACATTCTATGAGTGAGTGACTCAGTTTAGTTATGATCACAAGATAATCATAAGGCTGCTGATCTATGATCTTGAAGTCGGTTTCGGCTGCTGTGCCTTCCAGAGGCCGAGGACAAAACTGAAGGTGGATCCAGCGTTTAGCTGAATGGTCAGGCTAACGCTGAGTATCCCCAGGCATCCATGCGTCCCCTACCTGTTTGCATAGTGTCTTGATCCTTAAATATTTCCCTAAATGGCCATAAATCAAGAAGTCTGAGAAGAGAGTATTTCAGCAGTTAAATCAAGGGCCTTACTTAAAAATTTTCATGTTCTCCATCCTAAACAGATTTGGGACTATGTCACTTTAGATATATGTTGGACATCACCAATGTTTCCTCGCACTTTTAAAACACGTGTGTTCGTATAGCACTTGCTTAAAAAACGATCGCAATTCGAGCCATCTGTTGATTTCGAATGCAGAGAATCTAATCCAGACTTGCACAGAGGCTGGGGGATCTTGCTAGAAACTCTACTCCCGCTATGCTCACCACGTTGATTAAGGGTTTCCGTACCAATGGGATGCCTGAAATCCTTCTGTGCAGCTTTCCCCAGAGTTGGGTCCTGGCAGCAGAATTGCTGAATTCCTAGACTCCACTCAGTCCTACGAAGCTCTTCTTGGCCGTTATCCTTTTTTGCAGACTTGTTGCCTCTCATTTGGGGTGGGGCGGTATAAAATCCACATAGAGACGAGAAGAAAAGAAAAAGGCTTCCTCTTCTTTTGTTGCCATTATGGAAATTAGAGGTTGGATGAGGAGGGTCATCTGGTAGCTATTTCTGGACGAGCCCTGAGTTGTTCTCAGGAGAGAGAGTGGATGCGAATCTGTTGGGAAGCCCTTGCGCTGAAGAGGGAGGCCTGCGTCCATTCACAGTGATACACGTTGCAATGTGCTAGTGAAAAGAATAATAAAATGGACACTTTTCATGCCACGTGCCAGGCCCTTGCTATGTGTTCTCTCTTGAACACAGTGTAACGAATGCCTCGATAAAGACGTGGAATTCTAGGGTACAAAGTATTATGCAGATTCAAACGAATATTAGTTACTCAGAGCTAGAGTAGGCTCCCTTATCCATGGGGGGCGGGGTATGGTTCCCAGACCCCCCCACCCCGGATGCGGATGCCTGAAACCGCGGATTTAACTAACCCTGTACATACTGTGTTTTTTCCTGCACATATCTATGATCAAGTTTAATTGATAAATTAAGCAATTTCACAGATAGAAGATTTGTTCTTACCGTAGGGGAGATCTCAGCAACCTTAGCATCGGACTTTCCTCCGTACTGAGTGGCGAACTCTCACCTTTCACTTGAAGGAGCCTCCGGCTTCTCTTCGGCACGTCCGAAGCGCCAGCGTCACCACGCTCGTGCTTGGGGGCCGTCGTGAAGTAAAATGAGGGTGCCTTGACCACAAAGCCCCCACACCCCACAGTCCACCCGATCCCCCAGACGCTGCTACGTGGCTCTGGGCGGGGAGCGTGGGCAGCGTGGACACAGTGGAGGAAGGGAGGAGTCACTTCCGGGGCGGGGCAGGGGAGGACTCGCGAGATTTCACCACGCTCCTCAGAATGGCGCGGATTTAAAAACGTAGGAATTGTTTATTTCTGGAATTTTCCATTTCGTGGCAGGAAAGCGAAACCAAGGATGAGGGGGACTACTGACGCCTGATCGGTAGGTGGCGGTGTTTGACACTGATCTTGAACCCGGAAGGTGGAAAGGTAAACCGGGAGGTTCTTCGAGGCTCCCAGATCCGGTGACTTTGTGGAAAGCGTTCAGGCGGGAAACGTGCTTTGATCACGGTCTTCCCTCCCTTCGGCTGAATCACAGGCTGTTGGCTCTTCTCTCTGACTTCTAGTCATACGTGGCAGGCGCTGTGTGGGGCTCTGGGCCCCCCTCCCCGGTGAGCAAAACAGGCAGTGAACAAGTCAAAAAGGAGGGTTTCTAAGATCATTTAGGCATCTATATATGGGTTGACTTCGCTAGGCACCACATTGGGTGAGGGAATTGCAGAATTTCAGTGACGTTTGTCTGGTCGGAGAGGCTGGCCAGTGTGACACGTCAGGCACTGCTGGGGTGACGCAGAAGAAGCAGGGACCAGCGATGCTGACTTCAGGGAGCCTGTGCTGTTAATCAGGTCGGATGGAGTGGAATGGTTGGTAGGTAGCATCTTTGGCAGTGGAACAGAAGCAGGGCTTTAAGGGCCAGCCCTTGGGACAGACCTTCCTTCAGACCAGGGAGTTTTTTAAACATTTCCACCTCGAGCAGAGGAGTCCATGGGCAGCCCGGAACTGTCACCTGCGGCCGGTCACACGTGTGAAGGCTGGGCTTTCTCTTCACTCTGCGTATGTTACTCACTCGGAGATGTTATTTTACTGTACGAGGGCCTTCGAAGGTTTATTGTTAGCCCCAGTTTACAGATTACGCACTTGCTCCGTTATTAGGTCTCGTCAAAATTTTGCCACGGCCTTTGTGTCGACCTTTCAGATCTTTCTGCTTTGCAGTTCATTCTTCTTTAGCTGGCCAAAACCTTAGCTGAACTTGAGATACTCAGTTATCTTCCTGTATCTCTAGAAGCCCTTTAACTTGTATACCCTGTGACTAAAAGGAAAGCTAAAGAAAGCTAAAAAGGAGGTAACTAAATATAAATGAAATAAGATATTATGTCTCTCCCAGATTTCTGGCCCCCTAATCCCAGCGGAAGTAGCAAAGGGGCATTGCTAAGGCCCAGGTGAACTGAACTGGATACATACCCCAGCTACAGTGAGCTGACCCCTTTGGGTCTGCTCTGTTCCTGGCCCCCTTCCCTCTCAACCCTGTGCTTTTTTGCCCATGGGGCTCCCGAGTGATGCTCTGTGTCCATGAGCCCTCGAACAGCACCCTACTCTCTGCTCTTCTCATGAACAAATGCAGGTTTCTGGTTCTGACTGGCCAGATATTCTAGATCTTATCCACAGCTGCTTGTCAGGCGCGACTTACTGACTGCACTGGGTATGAGTTTCCTGTTACTGCTGTAACGAATTATTACAAGCTTAGTGGCTTATAACAACACAAATTTGTTATATTATGGTTCTGGAGAATATAAATCTGACGTGGAGTGGGCAGGCTGGTTCCTCCCAGAGGCTCTAAAGAGAGTTTACGTCTTTGCCTTTCCCAGTGTCCCGGACGCTGCCCGTGTTCCTTGCTCATGGTCCCACATCGCTCCAGTATCACTCACACCTCCTTCTCTGACCCTGACCCTCCTGCCTCCTCTTCCAAAGACCCTCGTGAGGACTTTGGGCCCACCCACATCATCCAGGGTAATCTCACAATCCCTAATGTAATCCCATCCGCAAAGTCTCTTTTACCTCTTAAGGTGATACACTCGCAGGTTCTGGGGATTAGAATGTGACCTTTTTTTGGAGGGCTGCTATTCATCCCACCGGGCCTCCAAAGTCAAATTCTTCCTTGCCTGGAGCACGTGGGACATTTTACGATGACCACCTGGGGTGAGTCCTTGCTCATATACTGGTCCTTATAAAATGGACTCACTGCTTACATATCGATGAACTTCTGCCCTGTTTTTAGTATTGATTCTGGCACTATTCATGCAGTAAAGCCCGGGCGAGCTGTTCCTTAACAAAGAGGAAGAGAAAGTGTGCATGCGAGATCTAGAATAGGGAGGAGTAGATCCTGATAGTGTTCTCAGTGGCGCTGTTGAAAAGACCTTCGGGAGAAATCTAATTTGCACACTCATTCTACACGTGAAGACACTGAAGCCCAGTGAATCTTTGTGGGAGTCTTGCAGCTAATAATCCCTCAATTCCGACTCCCTCTCTTGCAAACCAAGGCAGACACCTTGATGAGGGGTTCGTAGTCAAAACATTTGCTGAGGCAAAATCTCAAGTAAAAACACCTGAAATAAAGAGTTAAGTCTGAGTTTGTGAAAATACAATAAACTAAAAAAAAAGAAAAAAGGCAGGATGGGTAGAGTTAGAAAATCATGGGAGAGAAGAAACCTAAAGAAAAGTCAGTAAAAACAGAGGAAAACTCATACAGTATGTATAAATGTAATGCCAGAAGACTCGATTTGGGGGAATAAGGCGTTTTGTTGGTCAGCTTAGAACGTGACTCATGAAGAAACAATGGCCCTTTATGCTGGTGCTGAAATTCCGATGTTTGCTGGTAATTTCTGGTGGGCGATGATAACTAATCTGGAAACATAACCAGAGGGAGGGTAGTGACCGTCGGAGCCTGCCACATGTGCTCTCTCTTTTCTGTGTTCACACATTTACACTCGATGCAGCTTTGTACATCCTGGTGTTACTACTGATTTTAAAAAAATGTATAACTATTTCGCCTAAATTAATTGTTCTTCAGAAACTTCATATTTGGGGGTGTGTGTATGTGTGAGAGAGAGCTAATAACAGCTACAGTTAATTCTTTAAAGTAATATTTATTGAACAACTAGACTTGTTAGGCACTGGGCTAGTTGCTAGTGACAGCGGCGTCAGTGACATTGGTGACAGCCACTGGGTGCATTGCACGGTCTGTATTTAAGCCCTACTGCAAGCCTGCGAGGGGGCCATTATTATCCTTGTTTTATAGATGAGAGAACTAATTCCGAGGAAGGTTAGATCAGTAAGAAGCGGACGAATCAGAATTGGAACTCAGATCATTCCATCAATCCTTTTCACTGCAAACCCAACAGATTCTTTTCTCTATGCTGATAAAATGCTGTATCTATATGCTCATATATCACAGATAGAGACACTCACTTATGCACTTTGAAAAAATTATTTTACAAAAATGAGAAAAGAGTAAACTCATTTCGTCACCTAGCATTTCTCATTTGACAGTGTCTTGCGGAAATCCCTCAGGGTAATTTACTTTGGCTCAATTTGTTATCTTTAGAGACTGAGTATATTCCGTGCTGTGGTTATGTGTAATTTTTCTTTATTCAAGTCTTGTTGCACCTAGTTCTTCAGTAGGTGGCCCTGTCCATCCCGACCAAGCAGGGGAGGTCTAGGCAGTGACTCAAAGGGTGGGAGGCAAGTAGCCTTGCATTTTGGGGGGAGGCAAGAACCTTCTAGGCAGCAGCCAGTGCAAAGGCCCTAGAATGGATGGGCTTTGCCTTTTGTGGTCCAGGACAAGGAGGCCGGCGAGGCTGGAATGGGGTGAGCGAGGGGGCTGAGTCCAGGGGAGGGGGTAGGAGAAGAGCCACAGGTCCTGGGGCCTTTCGGGCCACCGTGAAGATGTGAGCGTTGCTGGGAGTGAGTGGGGAGCCGTGGCAGGGCTTCGTGCGGAGGGTGTCGCTCTGACTTGAGTTTTTTGAGGACCACTCTGACTGGGGCACGTGTTCACGCTGGGAGGCGTGGCAGAGTCCTGCTGCAGCGTTTCAAGTGAGAGACGGTGCCAGCCTTGACCAGGGTGGTGGCAATGCTGGCGGCGTACTGTGACCACAGCGGGCACAGAATATGCTGCTGCGATGTGGGCGAAGAGAGGATAGGATGAAGGACATTCCGAGGATGTTAGTTTGAGAAATTGGAAGGATGAGATTTTCTGGTTGATGACTCGGCCCGTCGGAGAGGCAGCCTCACCCCACCCACTTGCCTGTAGGTCGCTTTGCTGGAGTAGCTGAGGGTTGAGTTTAAGGGAGAAGATGCTGCATTCGGGTCACAATATGCCCGGAATCTCTTCTTCCTCGCAACCCTCATGCATTTCCCTTTTCAAATTTATTTTATTCGCGATGCATTTCATAAAGAGCAATTCTGTCATATCCTGGGCACGCACGTACTTCTTTTAACCTCCGACATCTGTCGTACCAGCTGAGAGTCATAGAGACCCTTGCAGTGATTAAACCTTGGGGACCATCTTTTCCCTATAACGGGAAGTTAGCAGGTGGGCATTGGCTGCTATCAGTTCAATGGCCGAAACGGTCAGGATGGAAGTCTGCAATTTTCTTGTCCTCAGGATGGCTGCGTTAGCTCCGGCTCACATGCTGTTCTTCCAGGTGGAGCGCAAGGGGGAGTAATCGAGGCCTTAGGGTGTGCCTACCAGGTGCCTTGGCGCTCAGCTCGGAGCTTTTGTGGTGGATCCGCAGTACGGTGATTTCTGCCTGTGGGTTCTTAGCTGTCTTCTCTGCCTTCACGGAGAGCGGGTAAAGGTAGTTTTCTAGCTGGATACGTTAGCACTCTGGACAAAGTCAGTGTCTAGCACTG